TAAAACCCTCTCTTTTCCTCCGTACCAAAATCTCTAAAAACGAGGGATCAACGGAGCTGATCCAGATTTGCGTCCGATATGACGTAATATCTGAAATGTGGACCCACGGCCCAATCAGAAACGTTGCTATCAGAAACAATGCCCGACTGTTTTGGACGTAATATGGTCGGTGTTTACATTAGCATGGCTAACACTCAGAGCTAACCTGTACTGGAGAGCATGTGTGTGAAGAAGCAGGAAGTAAAAGGAACTCACCTTGTGGTATAACCGGCAAGAGAGAAAGCCTTTGAGCTCCAGACTGTTTCAGAGAGAATCCTTGATAATCCATGATATGGCGTTTCATCACGGCAGCATTTAGTTTAGACGGTAGCTGCCGGGTCCCGCATGAGCTCAGACCCCTCCTCTTTTAAAGCTTTATACCCGAAATCAGCACTTTTGAAACAGGAAGTGAAACAGAGGGATATGAGGCATGGCTAGAATGGATCTGTTTGGTATTTTGAGCAAAACACTTCATAGACATGTTTTTTATATATTTGTATAGACCTATGCTATGGCCTAAAAATAGCACGATAGGTGACCTTTAAAAGGACAGAAGCAGATGCCATGCAACAGCAGGTCAGGAGCTGCTGGACTGGATGTCACAGTGTGAGCCTTAAACTGTGACAATGCAGCTTCAGTCAGGGACAAATCATTGGAACGCTTTCTGATGAGCACTCAGACACAACCAAGGACTTAAAACAAGAACTGACAGACAACATCTGCATTACAGATTTACTACTTGACAATGAAGCTGAAAAGTTGATCTGATCTGTTTTGCACTGCAGAAACTAAACTCTGACGCCTTGAAACATATTTAGAATCAGCTGAAACCTAATGTTTTAATATAATACATCCTGTTATAGTCTGAAGTGTCCCAAAGTGGCTGGTATAACACTAAAAGAGTTATAGCTGCAATCTGTGAAGTTCCCCTGCCTTCACCCCCTGAGGATCTTTATTTTTAACAACAAAATGGGACATTCATTCATCTATAAGAAGTGTTGTCTGTTTTAGGATAATATAAGTTCCAGGCCTCAACATGTAAGAATGAAAGGAGGGTCAATGTGTTACATAGCGAGGCTTTATATTGGTCAACTTGTTGGCTTATCCTGTGGGATAAATGTACGCTTAATTATTCATTTGTATGTTGGAGGCTTACTCCTGTCAGACTGAAAATAACTGAGGCAGAGGGATCATTTCACAAGCATACAATAAAGTAGGAAGGACAGTAACTCATAGAAAAACTCTTTAAGGCCGCTAAATCATAATTTGTGATCACTAATAGATCCAAGAGAAGACCTATTCTTTATCGTGTGTATTGCAGACATAGAACCATGAGGTGATTTTGTAATGACCAGTCTGATTGATTTCATAGACTCTGTTTTAATCTTTTGCACCCACTAAGCTTCAGCGGTTACAACTCAAATTCCCCCTCCAATTCGTTTATGCTTTGGCCTAAATCCATTTCTGTAAAACCATGAGCTGTGTAACCCATTTAGGCTCTGAGCGATGCAAGTACAATTTCAAAGAATTAGGATTAAAGTCAAAATTGGCTACCTGTCAACGCAGGCTATTTCCAGCAAGCTGCCTGATACACACCTTTTGCCACACAAAGAGATTTCAGAAACACAAACACCTGCCACTTCTCAGCCACTATATAAAAATACTTCTGAGGATGTATCGGAAGGTTCTGGGCCACATCAATGTGCCTCGTCTATGTATCTTGGCACGGTAGTATCCGTGGCTCTTCTGTATTGTCTGGAGTAAGAACCTGGCCAGTCTCACTTGGTTCAGAAAGGAAATCTGTTTTTCTGGAGGGCCCAAAGTGCTTTGACTGACAGGCCAAAGATACGGAGGGGGGGGGGTTACATTTTGCAATATACGTGTGCATGTGTTTGCATGTTGGTTGCATTCTCAGGCCTCACCTTTTATCCTTTGCAGTCCTGTTATTTACTGGTTAACTTTGGCAAACTCAATAGCTGTAAAGTAACCTTCCATTAGCACCTTGGAACTGTAGTCTTCACACCCTGAGGCTCACCCTGCTGACCTGGCACGGAATGTCATTTGTATGTTGCCAATGGAATGAGAAACACACCGCTTTATCAGGTGGCTGGTGAGAAACCGCAGGCGAGGTAGCCTAAGGCATAAGAAGGAAACGTGCTGGCGGCAGTCCTGCTCTGTGTTATGCAATCCAGTTTGAACATGTCGACTCTTCAAACTCCTGTATGTTTATATACTTCAGTCAGTGGCACATCGCTCCATAGACGGAATCAGACCGGAGCGAGTTTATGACACGAGCTTGGATTATTCACTCTTTTGGACGTGCGGACAACATTTAAATCATATTTGAATGTTTTTAACGGACTCTGCAGCGACTAATACAACTTTCTTAGATGATGTCATATCGGACAATGCATTAATATCAATCTTTCTCATGCATCAAAAAGCGAATGATTATTAGTCGCAGCATGGAGGTAAACCTCTCGTGTCTTACGTTGCACCCTCAGGCTGAACGCCACAGCCAGGTGACTGGGATCTATCTAGACTACAGCTTAGATGCTAAATAACAGCTCTTGGTTTTTAGCTGTCTTGGCATCTTATTTACCCGTCTGTCTGCAGGCTGCTTAATCCACGCTGAACTGCCACCCTGAACACAAAAATCAAACGGTATCGTTTAAATTGCCAAAGATAACATGCTTAGTATTGACCTCAGCAATATGCCCTCACTACTGAGCGTCACACTGATGTCCATCAAACACGCCATGATTCCTCGACCCGATTACAGAGACACTCAATCCAAGTTTCAGAAGGTAAGATAGTTCCTACAATGTTCACATGTTTAATAGTGACATCAGTATGAGTCAGCCAAACAAACAACAGAGTGCAAAAGAGGCCGAATCATCCTCAAAACTGCTGGTGCTTTAGCCAAAAACGGCACGCTCTAACATCATGCCTATCTGCATCAACAAAGAGAAACAGTGGATACAAATTGTGCATTTAAAGAAGGAAAGGTCAGACGATGTTTAGGCCTAGATTATAGGAAGTGAAAATCGCACAAATTGGCATGAAACCTTGCCCCAACCCACTTTTGGAGACATCTCAACAGTGGCCATTTAGTTACAAACGTTCCACAAAGCGTGTATGCGATATAATCCCCTGTGTTCACTTATAATAAGGCGCTGGATGACATCTTTTTAAATAGTATTCCCCATTACCTTAATGCAAAATGAATAATAATGTAAAATATATGATGGAACTTGTAAAAACAGATATTATATTCCTACAGAGACGAGGTATTCTCCATTCATTTGCCACGCTCTGCTTCATACGGTCTGATAACCACTGCCACGCACAACCAAACCAAGCCGGGCAACCCGAAGGCGGATGTGGACACAGAGCAAAAAGCAGAGCAGCACTCTGCAGCAATGGGCCTACATTCTTTTCTTTTCTATATAAACTACCGGTATGTCATCTTTTACACGATTATTTACCCCATGGGAACAATTTGTCACCGACATCTCGATACTGAATACATCAATGAGTAATGCTGCTCAATTACGGCAGAGCTCTTTTGTTTACAGCTGGGAAAGCCAATCTCTTAAACATCAGATCAAATATTCAGTAAACAGCCTGGCTTTACCGTAATAAACATGAGTAAAGGATGAAGGCGGGTACACGTATTAATAACAAGATTACAAGAGGGAAAGCTCTGATAGAGAACTGTATATTATATGTAGTCATATTTAATTTTAGTATTTGTTCGATATATATCATTCCAAGCTCCGCCTTGTTTGTTACAATAATGTGAGTTAAACATTGGAAAAAAGGCTTAACATTTGGAAATTGGTGCCAAGAATATTTGTATGTCATCCTCTCGCCAAGTTGGCTCACTGTCCGACATATAAGTATTGTTGGCCCCAGTGCAAATATTCAGCAAAGGAAGAGCAGAGAGCAGAGAGAAGCTGTGTTGCATGGGAAGATCTGCTCTCTCATCACACACACACACACACACACACACACACACACACACACACACACACACACACACACACACACACACACACACACACACACACACACACACACACACACACACACACACACACACACACACACACACACACACACACACACACACCACACACACACACACACACACACACACACACACACACACACACACACACACACACACACACACACACACACACACACACACACACACACACACACACACACACACACACACACACACACACACACACACACACACACACACACACACACACACACAGTGGTGTTGAGTAATACATGTACTTAAGTACATGTTTGAGGTACTTTACTTTAGTATTTCCATGTTGTGCTTGTCTATACTTCTATTACTCTACAATTCAGATGTAAATATTGTACTTTTACTCCATTACATTTGTGTAGTACCTTTAGTTACTTTGCAGATATAGATGAATGATAAACAATATAAATCAACACTTAGTTACACCTGGATTACATTCACATGCTACCAAGCAGTACATTAAGTAATTAAAATAGCTCCACCGTGACCAGCTTGATGAACACATCAATAATTAAAATCAAAACATATGATATATATGATTGTGAAATCTGCACAATGAGTGTTTTTAGATGACAATACTTAGATGACAATACTTGTGTAACGTTTTGAACACATGACTTTTACTTGTAACAGGGTATTCCTACACTTTGGTATTTCTACTATTACCTAAGTACAAGATCCGATCATGCCTAATGATGCTGTCCGAGCCAGAATACCCGAAGCAAGACACACATAGACAGCAATAGCAAACCGCTGGACAGCTGTCATCTCCCATGTGTGTCAATCAACTACAATAACACAAAGGATCATAGTTGACAGCCAGTGAGGCTTAATGTGGCACAGGAAAGGTCATGGAGACATCGTCAACTGGACATGAGATGGTCTGACTCACCGAATGGTTGACTCCCCACATGAGCACGCTGAGCAGCGGGTCGCTGGCACGGAAGAGCTTCACTTTCTGGGCGACGAAGTGCTTTTTCTTCGTCTTCGTTTTGCTCGCAATAGCTGCGGCAATGCTGCTCGCCGAAGCCATCTTTTAGCAATCTGAGTTGGTTTTTGCAGATCTGTGCGATTATCCTGACAGTGTGTATCTCCCCTTGAAGCTGGCGCAAGTGGCCACTAGCTCACGACTCAGAAATACAAACACTTTTCATTTCTCGCAAATCAAAGTCAACGAATTATTTTCTACATCAAACGTGCCTCACAGCTTAACACACGCTACGGCCCTATACGAAAGAAACAGTAGGATAAACTAGGATGTGTTTAGGCTAATACTGCTGCTCTCCTTCGCCCAACAGTATGCTGCTTCCCTCAGCACACATCATAAGTCACCTCTCTTCCTTCCTTCACAAGCTAGTCCCCTGTGATGTGAGCTGGCGTTAGCATAGCCAAGAAGCTAGCAACGATACATTCAGCAATATTAACAAACGAATTAAACAGGAATACTTTACAGCCCCGTGACAAATAAACACAAATAATTATTTAGCTTTAGAGTAGATTATTAAAATGACACCTTAATGACGCCGAATGACTAACTAAACGCTCTTGACTATCCGCTAACGTTAGCTCCTCCGACCTTCGCTAGCAAGTAGCCAACTGACGGCAAAAAACACAACCAAACACCGTACACTAGTCTACTAGCATTAGCCTACAAGCTAACCAGCAGCCAACTAGCCCTCCTGCTACCTGCCCGTGTCAGTCCGTGGAGCAGGGGTTTATCCTGTCATGCCTTTTCTCCGTTTGAATTAAAACGCAGAGGAGCTGTTATTTCGAGGTAAAAATCACCGGGTGGTTGAGTGTGGGTCTGCAGCTTCTTGTGAGCTGCTGTCACTGACAGCTCGAGGAGGGAGGTGACAGCCTGCTGAGATCTGCAGTGGCTGCGGCGCTGATTCGCTGCAACCCTCCTCCACCGGACCTATGCTACTTTGTTGTGCTGTTTAATCAAACCTATCAGTGTTTTTAATACCTAAATATGCATGTACATTTCAAATAAAAAACGCAACGTGCATTAATCAGAAAACCCCGTTTCGATGTGAAAATTGAACATTTGTGTGACGACTTTTCATTTTCAGGTGGCCATATGGATTTGAGAGTGCGTGCAGGGATGCGCGTGTGTGCAGCTCTTGTAATAATGATAATGCATTAGCAGGGAAACCTGTACATCATCCCGACCATCCCCCATCCTTGGCTTGCTTTCGTTTAGATTAAATCTGAGGCACATTTCAGGCAGAAGGGTGGTCATGTCCACACCACCAGAGGTAATGTCTTTAGAGGTCATTTGGTTTTCTGGTGCATGCTGTTTCCACTGGCACATTGCGGTGTAAGAGCCTCTCTGAGAGCAGGAGGCCTCAGTGCGCTGGAGAGATAATTTGTTTTATGACTCACTCTTCACAGCAGTAGCTACATTTACCTCAATATTCTCCAATGACCTGTACAGGACACACCGCAATCCCCCATCAACAAATGTACTTACGCGTTGGATTTTCCATTGCTTCCCCCCATTCCTTTTTATGGAGGATTAACTCAGAATGACAGATTTAGGAAACATATTTTTGATTTTGTCCTTTGCATCATTTAATAGATCTTGTAATTCAACATCTCTGTGGTAAGCAATATACAAAACATTGAATAAACTTCGAAATTCTGACCCATGTCCATTTTTACACAATATACATGGTGAAATTGCGTAAGTTACACACATTTAAAGCCTAATACATTTGAACAATAACTTGAAAACTAAGGGAAATTACCCTCATTGCCTAACTAGGCAAGCGTTGCCTAGCAACTCAGTGTCAACCTCCTTTTCCACAACACTAAACACACAGCCTTCTTACCGGTTGTCATGCTAATTATAAATACAGAATTTGTCCTTTAGTGTGGGGGAGAAATTGATAAATCATAGTGAAATTGGAAGAGGTGGGTCTGCACTTGTCTGTAAAACGTTATTTATGAACCTGCTAATGTGGCTGTCGGGTTAGCTTTGTAGCTATGAATGCTAATGTGGTATAGCATGTATTGCTGTCAAACTACTGTCATCAATAAACGCTGTTAAGACAAATATTCTTTCTCTCTAGGTCACAACATGGGGAAGAAAGCAAAAAAGGAAGCTGAAACTGCATGCAAGGAACCGGTGAGAGATAAATGTTTCTAAAAAGGTTTCTATACTTTGTTTCCATTGTAGCATGATACCCATCTCCCTCTCTCCACAGTTTGAGCCACTACATGTTGAAGGAACAACTCCAGAAACAGTGGTGCTGCTGCTGAGCTCCCAGGAGGAGGACATCCTAGTCAAAGCCTGTGAAGCAATATACATATTTGCAGAGAAAGGTACAGTAAGCTATACTGCTAACCCCTAATTGCTTTTTTGTGTGCATCCCTGCTTGAAAGCACAACATGTACTTGTGGATGACCACTGCTCATCTAATATCTTCAGATTTGTTATAACATCTACATTATCATCTAATTTGTTTCCCTTCTAAGCTCAAACATTTAGAGGTGACATACAACAATCAACATGTTATTATATTGTGTATTACTATGATTAACACCATCCCAATTGTATTTTGTTATCTGCCATTGTCTTTGATTACATTACAGTGTTTATCCTTACTAATACATAATAAATGCCCACAGGCACTGTTAGTATGCTCGGCACCATCATGCTTAATTTCCCTGTTGACTGTCTCCCCCTGTTGTTAGGAGATGATAACAAATTCTCTCTGCTGGGACTCGGGGCATTAGAGCCTCTCTGTAAGCTCATCAGCAACAACAACAGGCTGGTCAGACGCAACGCTTTCATGGCCTTAGGCATCATGGCCACCAACGGTTTGTCAGACAACATACAAAATCAAAAATGTGACTAAGATGTTTGATGACTGTTTGAGACTTGTTGACTGGCAGCACAATTCACTGTTTTGTTGACTTACACACTGAGTGACTGAATAACTGTTCCTCAGTTAATAATCTTGTCTCATGTTTCAATTGAAAGGTGAGGTAAAGAGTGCTCTGAAGAAAAAAGATGTCATTCCATCAATCATTGACAAACTGTCACTTGAAGGTGAGTGAAGTGAGTCAGTTGATGTCAAGATGAATAGACTCAGAAGCAGATGTGTACTTATAGCAGGGGTGGAAGAAGTACTCAGATATTTTACTTAAGTTAAGTAACAATAACAGTAACAAAAAGAAAAAATCTATTTATGTGATGCACTTTTGGATTATTCATTTATGTAAACATCATTTAAATATTGTAACACCACTGACATGTCACTCATTTTACTCAATTCATCAGGTGGCCTATTTTTGTATTTTTAGGATCATTAAATATATTTCAAGGTCTAATCTGGTTTGAATAAGGGGTAACTTTTTAGCTTTCAGATAATATAATAATATAGTTGAGTAAAAAAGTTCCTCAGAATTGGAAGTATACTTGAGTTAATGTACTGAGGTACTTCACACCACTGTTCGGTTGCACAATAACAAATATTAACACTGTTTTCTTTCCCATTCAAGAAGATACAGTGGTCCATGAGTTCGCGACACTGTGCCTGGCCTCTCTGTCGGTGGATTTCGTCTGTAAGGTCCAGATCTTTGACAACAAGGGCCTGCCACCTCTGATCCAGCTCCTCTCCAGTCCAGACCCCGATGTGAAGAACAACTCGCTTGAAATCATCTTTAACCTAGTTCAGGTGACTAGTGGAGATCTCAAGGCTATATGCTTATAAGCTTTTTCATGTTGGACACAGAAGTTACATCTATAAAATGCTTCACTGTGGATTTTTTTAAGATTGGGATGATTACAATTGAAAAGGTTTTACAATTGTCATTGTCCTTTCGTTTCCTGTGTTGAACTGTATGTCTGTAGGATCAGAAAAGTCGACTGGCAGTCCACAAGTCAGGCGGGATCCCTCCACTTCTGGAACTGTTAAAGTCCGACTTCCCTGCCATTCAGCATTTGGCTTTAAAGACGCTGCAGAATGTCACCACTGATGCAGACACATGCAACACCTTCAGGGAAGAGCAAGGGTTTGAGAAACTCATGGAAATCCTCAGTAACACGGTATATGAGAGAGACAACATGTATATCTATATCTCACCCTTTAGTTTTAGAAAATAACATATGGAGAGAGTTAAAAATACCCAGGTTTTGTTTGCACTATTAGCTAGAAATGGTCCCCTTTGAAATATCACTTTTTCTAAGATCCTGATGCCCTTTAAATCCTATACATCTTTTTTATTTCCAACAGGACTTCAGTGACCTTCATGCTGGGACCCTACAGGTAGTTGCTAACTGTTTGAGTGACAGTGAGAGTTTACAGCTGATCCACAAGGATGGAGGACTGAAGAGGCTGATGGAGTTCATTCTCACCCCCAACACACCTGACATCCAGTCCAATGCTGTGAAATGCATCACCAGGGTTGCTCATAGCTGTAAGCACAGAAGGAAACAAGAGGTTTTTGTACTGGGTTTAGAATTCATAAGGGCATATTTGACACGTACTTTCTCTCTGTTTGATTCATGGTGTGAAGCTGAGAATCGCAAACTGCTCCATGAACAGAATGTGGAGAAGGTTCTGGTAGAGCTTCTGTCTGTGGCGGACATCAGTGTGCAAACAGCGACCTGCCAGGCGGTGAGCGTCATGAGCTTCCACCTCGCCAGCAAAGACAGCTTCAGAGACCTGGGTACACACACATTCACACAACAACACTAACATTAACACACACATTCAACAGAAGGAAGTGTGAATGAGTTGCATCTGTGTGTGTCTCAGGTGGAATCCCTGCAGTTGTACAGCTGCTGAACAATGAGAGTTTGGTGCTGAAAGAGGCAGCAGCACAGGCCCTCTCTTACCTCACACATAGCAACCAGCTCAACATGCTGTGAGTGACACACAACCTATTACACACTTTAAAGATAATCCCTATAGTAAGCAGTGGTGGAAGTTGCATAACATGTAAATAATCAGCCTTAAAACTGTAGTTTGCAGTCTTTAAACGTATGTGTTTTAAGGTTGTGCAGTGTTCCTTCCTCTCCACTATTTCACAAATGATTTAATTCTTCATCCGTCTTTGCACTGTTCTCCCTGACTGAATATCCATTTACCTCTCTTCTCTACCTTTCTCCATTATAATCTTCCACCTTTTTTATTCCCCTGACAAATCTTCCCTATACCCATCGTCTCTCGGTTTGACTTCATATTTCAGTATTACTGTCTCCTTCCGTTCTCGGGACATTTACCTCCACCTCCCATGCATCACCGCCTCACTTTCCTTAGCCAAAATGTTTCTTATACTCTACCTATTTGTGCAAATCCAACATACATACAGTACATGCTGCATGCTTTGTTATGATACTGCATTTATAGTCAGCTCCTTGCATTAAATCACTCAACCATTTCTGTTCTATCTGCAGTGCAGTGTACGAGGCAGGAGGCCATGAAGTCCTTGTCCAGCAGCTAAATGGAAGCTGTCTCAGGACGTTGGCTAATTCTGCTGCCACACTTGGCAACATGGCAGCGCAGGAGGTCATCCGCTGCAGTATTCTGTCCCTAGGAGCCGTTAAAGCTCTGGTGGAGCCTCTGAACTCCACAGATACACAACTGCTGGTCAACACCACGCGGTGCCTCGCAGTGCTGACCTGTGATACAGAAGCCAGGGCAGAGGTGGGTGTCGTTTAACACTCATACGATTTGATCAACTAATAGATTCTTTAATTTATCAATGGATCCGTAAAAAGGAATTTAGCACAACAAAGCATTACCAGAAATGACGAATCAACTGAAGAAAGCTTAGTCAACAAAAACCAAAACAACCAAACATATAAAGGGGAAGCCCTAGTTTTGCATAAAGGAAATACCAGTTCAGTTTGCTGATATTGATTTTTTATTTTTGTCTTCATCTCTATAAAACTGAAACTAACGGAACTAAAACTCCATGTCCTACAAAGCTGCAACGTGCTGGAGGCCTTCACCCACTGGTCAATCTGCTGCGTTCCTATCACAAAGAAGTGTTGCACAATGCATGCTGGGCTATCAGCGTCTGCGCCAGTGATGGGCCTGCCGCTGTGGAGATGTGCACATTTGGGTAAGAAACTGACAGAAATGTAATTAAAAGTGTGGAGACCAGCTCATAGTAATATCTTGAATAACCACTAGATGTCAGTATAAGACAGTATTACATGAAGCTCCTCACTAAAGTATGGAGCATTTTGTTCATGTATTTTTATATGCATCATTAGTCTGAATATATCCCTATATGATTGCATTTCTGTTCTGTGTATGTGTCTCAGAGCCCTGGAAATGCTACAGGAAATCAACCAATCAGTGAATCGAAGGAGCCGTTTCAGCGAGCTGGCTATGATCAGCCTGCTTAACTCCAACCTGTCCGCCAAATACAGCCTGACCAGTCACTTAGCCTCCACTGACCTTATATGTGACGGCTTCTATGACGCTGGGAAGGTGTGTGTGTGTGTGTGTGTATTCTTTACTAAACAGAGGTCAACACATATATGTTGTCCCATCTCCAGACATGCTCATAATCTTACTATATTTCACAACTTGAGCTTTTTTAATTGATCTGTTTTAACCAATGTCCGTCTGAAACCATACTGTAACAAAGGGTGTTTAACACTTTTGCATCAACTCCTTTTCCGTCTCTCTTTTTCTCAGGCTCGTGCAGGACGAAGGATTCTGACTTTAGAGGAAATGTCAAAGCAGCCGGTCAACGAGCACCGGCCCATCATTGTAGTCAACACAGCAGCAGAGTATGTGTTCTTGAATGTCTTAAAACAATTCATTAAGTATTAAAAAACTAGAACTAAACTTTGAGAACATATCCAGCCGCTCCCCACACTGCAAATCAATCTTACACTACAAGCAGAGTGGGAAACTAACAAGAATACCCACACAGATGGTGGTAGAGACATAACTGAGTGTTTTACACTTCCAGCCACACCATGAAGTTTGCCAGTACAATTTATTGTGGCTGTTAGATTACCAACACCCTCCCCCTGTTTTCTCCAATCCAGTGATCCCCCCTTTAACTTATTTGTCTCCCCTCTCCTCATTGCCTTCTGTTCGTGTGGCCTCTTGAGGGTAAACGATCCCTTTTTTATAAAAGATGGCAACACACACACAGCTAAAGAGCCTTTGTGTTAGACTAATGGACCTACGAGAACAACTATGAAGATGCCTGCACAACACACACACAGCTAAAGAGCCTTTGTGTTAGACTAATGGACCTACGAGAACAACTATGAAGATGCCTGCACAACACACACGCACACTGAGAATAAGAATACATGAATGTGTATCAAAGTCTTCACGCACATAGGATACACACATTTTACACAAGCTTCCAACATTTTGATGAATTAACATGGCCATAGTGAGCAGAACCCCCTCATGGTCGACCATGCCCCCCCTTCAGCACACACGCACACGCACGCACACACACACGCACACACACACACACACACACAACATCTGAGGCATTCTTAAACCGTTTGTTATGTAATCTGTTCATGAGTTAGAATGACGTAAGTTTGCCTTTTTAACCTTTTAGAGCAAATGGGTGCTCTTGTGTGTCGCATGCATACAGACAGAGCCACATAAACACACAACAACAACAACAACAACAACAACAACAACAACAACAACAACAACAACTACTGAGCATATACAAGAAGAACAGTGAAAAATAGAATAATAGATCTGTGTTCAGTTATTTAAACCTTCAATCCTTTCTGCGGCAGAGAGACAGTGGAGACAGAAGAGAGGCAGAGCAACGCATCAGAAACAGACACCAGCAGCAAGGCAGAGCGCAGGACCCCGAGGTGAGTCTCAGAATAGTATCATATTAACACTGCCAATAATATCTTAGAACAATTAGTAGTATTTCTAGATGAGGATTTATGTTATTTGTTATATGCTGTGTGATTAATGAACAGACGCAAACAAAGAATGTAGGCCACTGTCAAATCACAGTTGATATTCTGACACTGACTGAGTTCCTATACATTCACTGTCCTTGTGCATAGGAAGAAGAAAGAGGAGGACAAACAGAAAGATGAGCCCCTCCCCGAGAAACCGTGGAAGATGATGGACGACGTCTCGTTGCAGCTTCTCATTAAAGAGGCCAAAGAATCCATCATCCCTCTGACTGATGAACGGGAGCAGTGTGCTGCCTTGGCAAGGTGACGGATGAATGCAGTCCGCACATAACCAACGCGCACTGTCACTGTAAATAAGAAAGAAAATCACAGAGTATGATATGATTGGCAGCCATTGTTCTTTGATAATAGAACCTACCTGTGAAATGTTGAAGGTTCCTGCACTCTAATGTGTTTTCTGTGCATGGATTTGGGTGTCAGGCTGGTGAGTGAAGCCATGGGAGGAGCAGTGGAGATGGAAAGGTTGCATGAATATCCGTGGGTGCTGCACCTCAGCGAGCTCAAGTTTCAGCTTCAGGCGAACGTCGTTCCCATCGGCTTGATCAGCAAGGGAATCTACGGCCATAGGGCTCTTCTCTTCAAGGTACCTAGATACCACACAGCATCATCAATAATAATAATAATACATTTTATTTGTAAAGCACCTTTCATTGCTAAAAGTAATCCCAAAGCATTTTATTTCAAGCCCCTTTGGATTAGCATGATGTGCACAATAACAAATGAAATACAGGTGCTTTAGTTTCTTTATGATTATCCTCCAACCTGTATCTTCAGTGTCTGGCTGATTGCATTGGACTGAGCTGCACACTGGTCAGAGGGGAGTATAACCGGGCTTGGAACGAGGTGCTGCTCTTCAACAGGAAGGAGCGCCCTGCACAGCCCTGCCGCTACACAGTAGACCTCATGCACCAGCCTGGAAGCCTGCTGGCACCAAATACACTTGCAGCTGTGCAATACCAGACTATATAGCAATATATTGATTTGTATTGTGTGTGTATTTGTAGTTAAATCTGACAATAAAGTATCAAATGTTCAGTTGATTATTGTGTTGCATGCCCCAGCCTAATGGAAACACGCTGTGCTCTTTTCTGATAAACACACTGGTTTAACCTGGTTCTGCCCAGCAGAGGATTTACAGTGTAACTGCAGAGGAGAGACAGATTGGTATCAGGTGGTCAGATCTTTGAAAAGGAAAGGAAAACATATTTTTGTCAGGAGTCAGAGCATAATGTACCGTAGGATTGCTCAGTGCATATAAGTTCCTATAATGTGAAAGTGTTATTGCATTCTGTGCATTATACCTCAACGTTGTTTTATTGGAAAATGTGTAAAACACTAACTATATACAGTATATCATTATATTAAAAACACATTAAGATGGGATACAAATACAAAGTAGCCTACTGCAACGGTCCAAAAACAATCTATAAAAAGGAAATACGATAGGAAAAAACCCAGTAGGTCTACAATATCAATATAACGGTAAAATACACCAGCAATAACACTTACAATCGAGCTGCTTTTAAGCCACAAAGAGCTTTATGCACCATGTCGAGCAATATCTCCAGTGAACCCTGTGCACTGCACCCTGTAGCCGGAGGTGTGATCGTTGACCCGGTCACACAGCGCGGAGGAGCCGGGGAGGACCAGCGGGAACTCGCCTCTACGGATCAGTCCGGACACACTGCGCGCACACACACACACACACACACACACACACACACACACACACACACACACACACACACACACACACACACACACACACACACACACACACACACACACACACACACACACACACACACACACACACACACACACACACACACACACACACACACACCATGTATACATCACTTCAGGGGACATTACATTGACTTACATGCATTTCCTGGAGACTTATCCTAACCTTAACCATAACCAACACATGCCTAACCCTAACCAAGTCTTCACCCTAAAATTAATGATCCCCCTCATGGGGACCTCCAATTTGTCCCCATAAGGGAGGCGAGTCCCCACACGTGACTATGTAAACAGCGGTAGGTCCCCACCAGTATAGTAATGCTAGACCACACAAACACACACACACACACACACACACACACACACACACACACACACACACACACACACACACACACTGATATCAGGACTTGACTTTAGACACACTTCAGCAGCAGCAGCAAACATGTCGCGTTTCGTCGCCCGTCTCTCCGTAGTATTTTCCCAGCAGGCGACGGTCAGATCCGCGGTGTTACCGAGGAGGATCCCGGTGTTACCGAGGAGGATCCCGGTGTTCATCCGTCCCGTGTCCACATCGCAAGGTACTGCGATAAAGTTTGATTTCTTTACCAACAGTTATCTCAGGCTGCACACTCCTGCAGGTGCACGATGCAATAACAAACCTGCTGCTGGTGCAAAAAGGGACTACAATTAAAGTGGGATTGTAGGATTCAGATGAGCTGCATTTTACTTTATGAATTTGCATAAAGTTACATTTTATGATTGTTTTGTTCAGCCTTGAGGAGTGAGGTGTATTATGTTCCAAGTCATGTGATAACCATTTTCTCAATCGTCCATGTGCCCAGGATCTGTGGTCTTATATTGAGAGTTATATTTTTGAAAGGTTAAGAAAATTAAAAAATGCAATGCATTTAATTGTTTTTCGGTTGATTGCGGACACAGACTGTGGATTGGCCAGGAACAGTGGATTTAATGTCCTTCTGTCTCTCTGCAGGCCTGCAGTCTCTCACCCGTTACAATGAGACCACAGACTGGCAGAAGAAACTGACCCCAGAGCAGTTTGTAGTCACCAGAGAGAAAGGGACTGAGATGGTGAGTACTGCAAACATTATCTACCAGAAAAACATACAGGTGGACTTTGCTCACTTCTGTATGTTTTTCTGTTTCAGGTTCAACCAGCTACAAACCTGCTTTATGTTAAAAGTACAAAGATCTTTTACTTAAAGGTGGGGTAGGTACTTTTGGAGCAACCAGCTCGAGTGCGCTAGAATTAGAAAATACACAACCGGAAATAATCTGTCACTTCCTCACAGAGCCCCTCCTCCAACACACACAAACTCGCACATGACCAATGAGTGCATGAGATAAGTTTGTGCACAGATGGAAGGCTGACAGGCAGGTAGGCCATCCAGTTACTTTAGCCGGCTCAGATGATTGGTCGAGCTTTTTACAGCGCCACGGCTTCCACTGATGAGATTTCTTTATGGATTTGTTGTCAAAGCACTTCAGATATTCATTGCTATCGGGATGTTAAGAGCATTCCATGGAATATAACAACAAGTGTATCTCGAGCCGGTTTCTCAAAATTACCTACCCCACCTTTAAAGGTGGGGTAGGTAATTTTGATGCAAAAAGTAAAAATGCCTTGCAACAAGTGAAGTCATGCATCCACAGTTTTATTACTTTACTAGTTTTATCTATAATAAAACATATTCCTGCATGAGTTGAAAAAATTTAGAATCGTAAAAAGTACTATATTGCCATCACAGATATGGAGTAAAAGTATAAAGTAGCAGGAAATGAAAATACTCAAGGAAAGTACAAGTACCTCAAACTGTAACTAAATACTATATATACAAATAATAAGGGAAAATGACTGTACTGGAGTTACAAAATAATGAGCATTAGGGCACAAAACTATAGTGAAAAAATCCTCAGCTATTAGTTGTGTGTTTCTGCTTCTAATACGAAGTGTGTGTGTGTGTGTGTGTGTGTGTGTGTGTGTGTGTGTGTGTGTGTGTGTGTGTGTGTGTGTGTGTGTGTGTGTGTGTGTATTTGTGTGTGTTCTCAGCCCTTTAGTGGGATCTACCTTAACCATAATGAAGTGGGGATGTACCACTGTGTCTGCTGTGATACTCCGCTTTTTAAGTAAGTCAGTTTAATGAGTGAATACTTCCCAACATAAATGAGATATTTGTATAGAAATGCATTAGCAGATTCTGATTTAGGAAATGCTCCTTCCTCTCTTGATAGTTCAGAGGCTAAGTATGACTCTGGGATGGGCTGGCCGGCATTCAAAGAGGCTCATGGGACATGGGAGCGGGACGAAAGCCACGCCTCCATCATTCGTCGCCCTGACAACAGCCTGGGTAATGCTGGGACTGAGGTCCTTTGTAAAAACGTGAGTGGTTTCCTGAGCGCTGGAGCCAAGGTTCAGTTTGCTCAATATATATCTCTGGGTGCAGTTTTTATAAAGCAGTAAAGTTAGATTATTCGATGCATTTAATTATATCTTTGCATTCAAATATGTGTGTGTGTGTTTGCTGCAGTGTGATTCCCACCTGGGTCATGTGTTCAATGACGGCCCGGACCCCACAGGTCAGCGGTTCTGCATCAACAGCCTGGCGCTCACCTTTAAACCCAGAGAAAACAACAAGCCTGAAAACAAGGAGGAGCAGAACTAAACCCACTGGACTTATAGACACATTTGTGTTTCATTTTACACATTGAAGGACCACCCAAATGTCAATAGTCTACCTAAACATGTTTGCAAGCTTTGTGTGTCACAAAATGTCTTGGTAATTGAATTTTGAATGAAGAGGACCTGGTGTTTATGGATATAACCTGGACAGAAATCTACATACAGCTCCTTTAAAAACACATTTCCTAAAAAGTAATTGTAGTAACTGTTGTATTATTCACTAATTCTTTGTTGAGTTGGTCTCCCTGAATGTAAACAATGAATGTATGAATGTTGGAAAAAGGTCAAAATACAATCTGCCTGAATTAAGACAACCTCTTTTATGTAGAGATTGCAAAACACAGGAGTTATGACATTACTGATTCTGTGTTTTCAGACAACATCAAATTGTTTCATCTTTTAGGAATCAAAAGCAAAATAACTTGTCAATAAATGCACCTTTTGTTTGTTCGCTGAATGTATGGTGAAGCTAATCTGTCTGAGTTTCTTAAGACTTAAAGTTGAATAAGAATGAATTGCTGCCCCCTTCTGATGCTCACAGTGCAGCACCGCAGCGTGGCCTCATATCTGCCAGTAAACCAAGCTAATATTTAACAGACCATCCTGCGTTGCACATTGTTTGTCCTCTGCTCTCGGTCTGTTTACACATTTCACGTGTCTGTGTACTTGAGGTTGGGTAAATCAGATTGGGATTTCAGCAGACAGAGACAGAGGGGACAGAAAATACAACACAAGAGGACAAAAGGAAACGAGAAGTCAGAATCCAGGAACCCAGGAGAAGAGGACTGTGTTTATTCCTGAGTGATGGCTGGAGTATGGCGCTGCATGCTGGCAGCGGCTGTGTTGATGTGTGTGTGTTTATGGGATTCCACTGAGGCTGTAGGGGGGGCTGTAAGTCGGCCACGACCCCAAAGAACACGTCATAAGAAGCCAAAGGTCGACCCCATTGACCTGGCCCCAACTGCCCAGAACGTAGACATACAACAGGTAAACCACTGAACACGTACTTTTACATTTGATACTTCAGGTACATTTTGCTTATGACACTGTGCATTTAATAGAAGGACTTTTTGTTAATAAATATGTTTACATTGTGTTGGTGTTTTATTTAAGTTTCCAGGCAGAGTTGTGGCGACTTGAGCAGACTTACAGTGATTCTAGTCCTCACTTTTTACCTGTCCGAATAATTTAAAAAAATAGCATTGCAAAAATAATCAGTGGAAACAATGTGAATGACCTGGAGAGAATAGCCCCAAAAAACTGACATTTTGCTTCAAGAAGAACCTAGAAAAAGGGAATTTTGTGACGCACTTGCCATATATTGCAGGTTTTTGAACAATTTGTATATTGTTTAACATTTAAAGCTAATACTAAAGGAGGTAGAACAATGTAACCATTATATGCAAGTACCCATGCAAAGAGAATTTGACAAATTGTTCACGTGATTTGTTATGGATTAGTGGGGGAGTTGTCAACATGGACATGCATTACATTACATTACATTGCATTTAGCTGACGCTTTTATCCAAAGCGACTTACAATAAGTACATTCGACCAGGAAGACACAACCTTGAAGAAAACAGAATCATATAAGTACATCAGGTTTCATAGAGCCAAACATTTCAAGTGCTACTCAACTGGCTTTAGGTAAGCCAGTCCTTTATTAGTATAAAAGTGCTTCGTTAATAGTTCTATCGCTCGAAGTGGAGTCGAAAGAGATGAGTTTTCAGTTTGCGCTGGAAGATGTGCAAGCTATCTGCCGTCCTGATGTCAATGGGGAGCTCATTCCACCATCTTGGAGCCAGGACAGCAAACCCACGTGTTTTCGCCGATGGGAACTTGGGTCCTCCTCGCAGCGAGGGCGCAACGAGTCGTTTGGCTGATGCAGAGCGTAGTGCACATGCTTGTGTAATATGTCAATATTGTGTCTTAGGCAATATGGGAGATTTTCAGCTGAAAATAATTTGAACATGGACATATGAGCCAATTGTTGTTATTAGCACAACATAGAAAGGTTCGTTAAATACTATTTATTTACCCTAGATATATTCATTTTGACCTGATAAAGGAGGGCAAATCCTAGGTACAAATTGCTAAAAAGCATACCTTTTTTGAAAGAGAAAAGCAATTCAGTTTTAGGAGAGAATATATAAAGTCTTGCCTTTGTTTCCTCGGTCGCCTGCTTGTTTGTGCTGCAGATGACAGGAACATGGTACCTGCTCAACATGGCCTCTAAATGCTCTCACTTGATAAACCATGGGACCAAGGTGCAGCCAACGGTGCTGACCCTCACTCGCTCCCCCGACTCTGACCAAACCCTGTCTGTTAGCACTAAAACCCGAGAGTAAGTACTTTTGATTTATCTGCAGAGGGAGTTAAAATGCCACAGATCTCTCTCCTTTCTTGTTTTTATTACTGACTTCATGCCTCAACCGGAAGGAGGAGGGAGGACAGTTAAACCTGTTTGTATTACGCATTCTTTTGGGTCATCATGACCTGGCAGATTAATAATCCTTTGTGTGTGTGTGTGTGTGTGTGTGTGTGTGTGTGTGTGTGTGTGTGTGTGTGTGTGTGTGTGTGGAAAACTTTTTTCTTTTGTCATTTCCTTATGCAACATTAGAAAAGTAGGTAAGTCTGAGGCCGAGACTGTGACACAGCTATATTACATTACATTTAGCTGACGCTTTTATCCAAAGCAACTTACAATAAGTGCATTCGACCAACAAGATACAAACTTGAAGAAAACAGAATCATATAAGTACATCAGGAGGCATGCCAGGGGGGCGCGAGAGAAAAATGGTTATAAAAAAAAAAAAAAAAAAAGATTAAAAAAAAAATCATAATTAAAAAAATTATTGATTTGAAAATAATATGATGCAGTACAGTAATATTACGTCTGGGTCTCTGTGTTTCATTAAAGCTCGGCTCTGTGTGTGTGTGTGTGTGTGTGTGTGTGTGTGTGGAAAACTTTTTTCTTTTGTCATTTCCTTATGCAACATTAGAAAAGTAGGTAAATCTGAGGCTGAGACTGTGACACAGCTATATTACATTACATTGCATTTAGCTGACGCTTTTATCCAAAGCAACTTACAATAAGTGCGTTCGACCAACAGAATACAAACTTGAAGAAAACAGAATCATATAAGTACATCAGGTTTCATAGAGCAAAACATTTCAAGTGCTACTCAACTGTCTTTAGATAAGCCAGTCCTTTATTAGTATATAAGTGCTTTGTTAGTAATTCTATCGCTCGAAGTGGCGTCGAAAGAGATGAGTTTTCAGTCTGCGCCGGAAGATGTGCAAGCTATCTGCTGTCCTGATTTAGAATAGTATAGAGAAAATGTACAAAAAGAGGTCTTATATGAGCCAAATCTACTTTAAAGGGGGGGTAATGCATCCCTCTAAGTTGTCTCAGAGGAAGAAACAGCAGTCTATGAGGTTTCCAAATGTTTTTACTGAATGTTACATCATACTGTATATCTCACAAACTCCTCAGTAATCACCAGTGCTGGGAGATACAACAGGTCTACCATCTTTCAGCAGCCCCAGGCAAGCTGACACTTAAAGGTCAGTGCTGACATTATCAAGCCCTTTTAATAAAATGCAATGCAGCGTCCCTTCATGCTCATGTTGTTTCCACCAGGACCTCGTTCTGTGCTGGACACGAAGATAGTGATCGGGGAGACGGACTACAGCTCCTACGCCATCATGTACTTCCAGAAACGGGGCCAGATCAGCATGAAACTCTACAGTGGGTTCCTCAGACATGTTCTCATTTTCTTTTTTGGTAAAAATTAAGATTGCACTATATATCTAAAAATGCATTGTTATGATATTCTTGCAGGCAGATCGGTAGACAACCTGTCCGAGCCCCTGTTGAGCAAGTTCGAGCAGCTTGCAGAAAATCAGACATTTGGACTGGCATACCTCTTCCCCTTCCCCACCTACAGTAAGTCCACTTAAAAATGATATAACATATGTTAGCAAATGCAATGTCAAATGTAAAGTGTTATAATAAAAGCACAAGAGCTACATAATCTCCAGTAATCAGCACATTTGGGAAAGTAGTTACACTGCCACCTCAACTGGTTTTATATATTTACGTTCCTTTCCAGGTCATTGTGGAGATGTGGACCAGGACCATGTCATCAGTAAGTTAAATGTGTTTAAATTATTATCCTATTATGAAATATTAACAAGACAAGGAAAAGGAGCAGCTGACACATTTTGCAAATACAGCACTTTCTTCTCAAACCAAAGACATGCCGACACATGTAAAATACCTTCTTCCAACCAGAAGGGTTTCTTGGAAATCGAGGAGTCAGAAACGATTTACAGTCCTTCAACTGCCAGTAGCTCGCAGGCGTCATGTAAAGTTATGGAGTATTTTCACAGGTCATTGCACGCTGCAGAACATCAACGATCATGCCTTTCATCCTCCTCAGTGTAAGCTACGGGTCACTGGTTCAGAGCATTACATGTCGATCTTCATTTCTACAGCTGCAGTTAGCTTTAAGCTGCTGAACGACAAATAATGTATTCTCCAGCTCAATTATTATATTGTAATGATATGCATCTAAGCTATAGACATGCAGCAATGCCAATAGGAGATTTCTATACAGCAGTTATCTGAGCTGAGTGATTTCATTATGATTAGTGATAGAATTGATAGGATATAGTGTGCTGCTGTGGTTTAATCAATAGGATCGAACCACCTGCTGTGTCCTTCCCACAGTCTCCATGTCTGCTCCTGCGGACTGTGCATGTATTAGATTAACTTATTCAACCGTTATCAACAGCATGTTATCAAACGTCCACTCAGGGATTATAACAGCAGCGATTGTTCTTTGTAATCTAACCTGTCACTCCTCATTTTACAGACTGTGACCCCGAATGCTGAGGAGGCAGAATTGAGCTGCTCACATTCAGCCTTCAGCATCAAGGACTATCAATTGTAAAGCACTCAATTGTCAGATAAATAAACCATACAGAGCACAATGAAGGTGTTGGTAAATGTTTTTTTAGGGTCTACCTCCCACTCACTCTGCATCTCAAAGGTGTTATTATTATGTTAACTACATCCCATCCCCTTATACTGAGATTATAATTTCACAGCGTGTGTCTGTTTGCATGCTCTTTGTGTGTATGCGAAACAGTGAATGGCGGGGGTGGGAGTTGATATAGATCAGATGTTGAACCCCAAAGGGAGTTCGGTTATATAACTGGGTTATGAAAGTGCTTTCTTGTGAGTTACACAACAAATGAATGCAACTCTGTGTCTTTTATCTCTTAGCAAATAGAGCTGGGATGAGTGCATCAATGCTTTTGTACGGTGGCCCTGAAGTGCAAAACACCACAGCATTTCAGAAAACACTACAGCATTTCAGAAAACACCACAGCATTTCAGAAAACATTACAGCATTTCAGAAAACATTACAGCATTTCAGAAAACATTACAGCA